ATTCTTTTCCCTCTCTCTTTCTGTCTCTCTCTCTCTCTCTCTCTCTCTCACACACACACACACACACACACACACACACACATACACACACAGCAGACTTACTGGAATTCAAAACTCTACACATATCTGAGACACACAGACGTACCCACAGAAGTACGGGGCCAGGTACCTCCTCTGAGGCACAGACGAAGCCTCAGAGAGACACACAGCACACAGAGACACAACGTCCCCGGAATATTCATGCAGCCTCATCCAGGTCACTTCTGCCCCTTCTGAGCAAATTATTTCCCTAGGCCCAGAGAAAGTCCGATTAACGAGAGCAACAGCTAATGCTTTTGTCAGGCACAGCTAAACACATTAAACTCATTAGTTCATTTAATCTTTGCCACAATCCTATGAGGTAGATATTACTACCCCATTTTACAAACGAGGAAGCAGATTCAGAGATTAAGACACTTGCTTAAGCTCCACAGCTGCTGAGTAGCAAAGACGTGGTTTTGACCCGATGAGCGTGACAGTCTACCAAGCCTGCATCCCCGTGGGGGCAGCCTTCTGGGTTTCCTCTCCTGGAGAGATCTGGGCCGGGAGAATACGAGGTTGGCAGAAAGGAAACTCTGGGGAATGCGTAATTGTGGGGCTGGGACAGGAGGGACCCTTAGGGGGCAGCATTACTCCTGGCCTGGTCCGAGCTCAGCCGGCTCTGAGGAGTGCCCTAGGAGGGGGGCAGCCTGCTCCAGCCGTCGGGCAGCCGGGCACTGGGGCCAGGGCATCGACCTCTGTGGGTGATAGAGCTGGGAACCCAACTGAGACTGCAGATCTGAAGGAGCTCTCTGGCCCAGCCGGCAGCCATTGTTCCCAGCCTCCAATCAGGAGCACCCACTTCCTGTTATTTTAGGCGGCAGGAAATGACCCCATCCCGCAGCCTGGGCCCCACCGCGTCCCTCCCTCAGCCCCAGCAGGGCTGCCCAGGCTGTTGCCCAGATGCTGAAGGCAGAGGCTCACTCTCAGGCCAAGGCCTGGAGATGGCCCCCCGAACTGGACTATTACCACCACCTGGGTCCAGGGCCGCCTCCTGGTTCAACTGCTTAGGCTCTAAGCTGGCAGGCTTCCCACAGGACCCCAGGCTCTGCTGGGGCTACCTCTGCCTGCCAGAGAAAAGATTATGGGGTCCCCAAGACCAAGATGCCCACACAAAGCCAGTCACGGGAGGGAAGTGGTCCAGACCTTGTCACTGGCTGGCTTAGCCATGATAATTCAGCTTAGAGGTTTGGGGCACAGACTTGAGTCAGATAGATTTGAGTTCAAATCCTGCCTCTGCCGGTTGCTGGCTGTGTGACTTTAGGCAAGTGACTTCATCTCTCCGAGCCTCATCTGTAAAATGGGGATAATGCTAGTCCCTACCCACAGGACTGTGGCGAGGGACAAATGAGACAAGGCCCGTGACATGCTGAGCATTGTGCCTGGCACAGAGAAGGCCCTTAATGAATAGGAGGTAATAAGTGGGAGATAATTAATGGGAGACAACTCGGTTCACCGGGGAGTCTCTACCTGGCCCACATCTTCTCTTACAATTGGTGAGAAGCCCTAATAAGGGCAGCAATACCGTGTTCCCTACTCCCTCCCAGGCTCTCTGCTCCCCTCAGGGCAGAGCTGCAGCTGAAAGGTGGTGGCGGAAACACTGAAGGCTGTGCCCCTGGGTGCCAGGCAGAGCTACCACCAGCCAACAAAGCTGCATTATCTGGGCCTGGCCAGTTGGCTCCCTCACTAGCCCCAAGGCCCAGAAAGGACCAACGACATGGGTCCCAGCTGCCTGTGGCCTAATTTCCAGCCTGGGTCAGACCTGAGACCTGTCCTGATGGCCCTCAAGTATGTCCATTCTAGTCTAGGCCCAGCTTTCAGCCCCTTCCCTCAACCCTTCCCCATTACCCTGTCGGGAAGGGGGACCCTAGCTGGCCTGGTGCCCCTTCCACCTCATTTGCATATGCGTGACTGCACATTAGGGGCTCATTAGAGGCCTCATTATTGGGCCCACCAGCCCAAGAAGGGACTGGGAAGCTGTCAGGGGGAGGTGCCAGCCAGCTGGCTGCTGTAGGTATGGCCACAGCCCACTGCGACAGCCTCACCAAGTTCTACTCATCCCTTCAGATCCACCTCAAATGCTGTCTCCTCCATGAAGCCTTCCACAAGCAGACTCGGCCGAGCTGGCACACGGTGGGGCATCAGCATAGGTGTGTGCTGGATAGCCGGTTGCAGCCGTTTCTTGGGTCTTCTCTCCTATTCCCACTGTCCCACTTAAGGTATGGGGCCCCTCTGTTCCCTGGATACACCCTAGCTCACGTCTGCCTCGAACTCCCCTCTCCCCTGCCCTCTGCCTTATATTTACCTCCTACAGTTCTAATCAATCACATCTCAGGCTTCTGAGGGAACTAAAAATAACAACAAAAAACAAACTGCTGGCACTTATTTAGCATTAACTATGTGCCAGGGCCTAGTCTAAATATTTTCTGTGTTCATCCTAATTACATGATGCCAATGTCCCTATAAGATAATTTCTAGCATGATTCTCATTTTACAGATGGGCAAACTTAAGACTTACGTTAAGCAACTTACTGAGGTCACATAGAGGTAAGTTACGAAGTGGAGACCTAAACGGTTTGATCCCAGAATCTACATACTGACTTCCAATTCCTGCTCCCACCCTCCCCTGTATTTCGTACCTCCCTGCTGGCACCGGTTGCAGGAGCATAACCACAATAATGATAATAACACTTTATTGCAGGTGTCTGGTGTCTGCGTGCCAGAATCCCTGAGTTACATCATCTCTCACCTTCACATTAACCCCACGAGGTTGATAACGCTGCCCCCATTTTCCAGGGGCAGAAACTGTGACACCAGGAGGTAAGTCACTTGCTTCAGTCCAGTAGCTGGCGCATGGCTAACTGGGATTTCCATCCAGGTTTTCTGACCCAAAAGTGGACCCCACACTTGTCCTCTACTCTATGCCACCCCCTGTTACTGCTCAGTGTGCATGTGCACAAAGGAACTCAAAGGGAGCAGGGATCATGCCACATCCTCTCAGAGACTCAGACCCATGCCTCAGACTCTCACAGGGCACATGCTGTGAGCATGCCATTTACTCCTGGAAAGCCTCATAGAGGACTCCTGTCACCTTTGACTTTTCTGTGTGGGGAACAGCCACCAGCCTGATCCAGGTTCTTGTGTGACTCCATCTAGATCCCTGCGTATAGAAGAGTCCTCCCAATGCAGGAAGGCTATATGCATTTCCTCCCCAGCCCTCCCCCCCCCCACTCAGCCTCCCCCTACCACCCAGCCTCTGCCTGCCCCCAGGACAGCCAAGCATCTCACCCATGCTCTCATATTCAGTCTAGGCATCCTACCCAGGTGCCCTAATTATAAACTAGCCACCAGCTCAGGCTCTTTATACCCCAGTCACCACCCGACTCAGGCCCCCAACTATACAGCAGTGCCAAAGGCCCTGAGGTGCAGAGGGCCAGTAAGCTGAGGATGGACTCAGGCTGGGCCTGGATGTCCCCTCTCAGGCTCAGCCGATCCAAGACAGACCCAGCCACTCTTGTTTCTAGCCCAGCCTACAAGCCTCCTGAAACCCACCAGTCTCATGGTAGCCTCACCTCCCTGTTCTCCCAGCTCCCACACCCAAAAAGTCCTCTAGAAGCATCCTCGCTGGCATGGGGAGGAACCCACCCACAGACCATCGGCCCCACCTTATCCTGGGCTCTCCGCACCCACACACAAACTGTTTCATCCTGGGCCCCACACCCTAAGGGGCAGGGAGGTGACAGGATTAGGCTCAGGACTCCATGGGGGTGTGGGGATGGGGCCACCTCCCCCCCTGAGTCAATAGGAACAGAACTTGGGTCCTCAGTAATCATGTTCTTCCCTCCCCTTCCAGGAAGAAAGAGAAATTGCCTCCCTCCAAAACCAAGCCCAACCAGAAACCTGTCCCCACCCCCTCATCAGCTGCTCCCAGATCCGAATGGGATTTGCAGAAGTCCTGGGCACTGGTGGTTCGTGGGGCGAGGGAGGGGAGGGGAGCTTTGGTGGTCTGGGGTGTGGGGGGAGAGAGAGAGAGAGAAAAGAGAGTAAGCTTCAGGCTGGAGAATGATGTGGCAGGTCCGGAGAGTGCCGGCTTGCAGCCTTTACCTCATTCTCTAGTGAGAGACTCGGGCCCCGAGAGGCCGGGAAGGAGGGCAAGCAGGAGAAGCAGATTTACTTCTGTCCCTGAATCGGGCTGGGTGGGCTTCAAAGTAGGTCTGGCTGCACGGGAGACGGCCCACTCCCCAGCTCCCGCCCTCGCCCCAAACAATGCCGCCTCCCCCTCCCCCTCGCCTTTATCCGGCGGGTTACTTGGCAGCCGCGGCTAGAGACCTCCCTCTCCCCTGCCCTCCCTCCCTTCTCCTCCCCGCCGGCCCGCAGCAGCAACAGGCCCTTTGCGCGGCAGCTGGACGGATGGGGTGGGGGTGAGGTCTGAGCCAGGGCCTGAGGGTAGGGATACTAAGGCCGAAGCCTCGGTATGCAGGGCCCAGGCCTGAGAATCCGGACCCCCAACACACTCAGGCTGGGGTCACATGTGCCACGGGGGATGGGGAAAGGGACGGAAGCCCCAGCTCTGTGGAAGAGGATCTTCAGGGCCTTGGGTGGATCGGGAAGGGACGTGGGGGCGGGGAAGCCGAGATGGCACTAAGCTGGGGCAGAAGGGTCACCCCAACAACTCCCGCGCGGGGTCCCCGCGGCTCCCGACGCCCGCTGCGTCCGGCACCAGGGGTGGGGGAGGGGGCAGCTGTCAGAGGATGCACCAGGAGCCGGGAGCCGCAGCCGCCGCAGCCTTTATTTTTAAACTTCCAAGTGGTCAGAGGGCGCGGCGGCGGAGGGGTCCCCGCCCAGCCGGCCCGCCTCATCCTCGGCCGCCCCGCGGCCCCTCCATCTCCCCCCATCTCGCCTCCCCGTGGCTCCCCGCATACCTGGGGGTGCGCCTGCCCCCAGCTCCACACGCGGGCAGCTCTCCATGGCTGCGGCGTCACTGGGGGTCTCGGGGTCTCAGCAGCGGCGGCGGCGGCGGCGGCCGGCGGCCAGGACTGGGGTCCCGCGGCGCATCACGCCCGGCCCGGCCCGGCGGGCAGCGACTCGGAGGCAGGGGCGCTCCGGGGAAGGTCGAGGCAGGTGGCGCGCCAGGCTCGGAGGTGCCAGTTGCCCAGGGTCCCTCGGCTGCGGCCACGATCCCGCTCCCTGACCGGCGCCGGCCCAGTCCCGGCCTCGGCCCAACCCTATTGTACCGCCTGGGCTGGGCCTGGCCTCCCGCTGGCGCGTACCAAATCCGACGAGGGGGGGGATCCGCCCCAGCAGCGCCCCAGGACCCAGCTCCATGTGTCCGCACCGCCCGCGCCGCCCCCGCCCCGCAGCTCCGCATCCTCAGCGTTCCGGCGCCTCTCCCATGGCCACGGCCGAGCGGGTGCCACGGCTCCGGGACTTAGCAGCGCCAGCTGCCTCCCCCTGCGTCCGCGCGTTGGTACGCGCCACAGCGCCAGAGGACTATGTAGGGAGCGCTCGGGTGACTCACCCGCCGCGGGGACTGGGGGAGAGGGGGAGCGGGGCTGGAACTCCCAGATCCCACCCTGGAGCTTGGGGGTTCTGGCGCTGGGGCTGAGAGGGCAGCTTCGAATCCAAATTCTCACTCAAAACCACCTAAATCAAAACGGCCCAGGGGGACGTCGGGAGGCATGAAGGAGAGTCACAAGGAGACCCCTGAAAGGGCTTCGCTTTCTCTTCCCTGCTGATGGCCGGGCTGGGAAGAGGTCTGAGAGCCTTGCTGCCACCCTTCCTCGGAAATCCTGGGCTGGTGTCTTCCCTGCTCCTCTGGGGTAATTACAGCCCTGCGCAGCTGCCTTACCCAGGTCTCTAATCTGCTGGGTCCCTCCCGGCTCCCAACTGGGTGGTCCTGGCCCCGAACCCCCCACCACCACCACCACCAGACGACCCCGCCAATCTCCCCAGAAGGATTTTCTCCCCGTGGTCTGTCGATGACGGGGTGGTGAGCCCCTTCAGAATCCACTCCCCAAAGTAGCCTTGCTTCCCAGCCCTCCAGAGTGGACTCCCAGCCCCCTTGTGGGTGCCAGCTGAGATGAGGGCTTCAAGCCAAGTCAGGCCCAGCCCAGGGCAGAGTGGGCAGCTTGCTGGGAAGATGGATGGGTGATGGTGTTGCTGCAGAGACCTTAGGGGGAGGGCCCTGCCCACCCTGGCCCTCCCCTTTGTCCTGACTTCTAGAAGGTCAGTTCTTTAGTTCTTCATTGTCCAGTGATTAGGCCCAGTGAGATGCTGTCCCCCTTTCCCCCCTTCACGTCAGTGCTTCCTTCCTTTTAGCAGCTCCAGAAAGAAGCCATTTGGAGGGAGGGAGTGGAGAACAAAAGGGTCAGGGGCTCAGGCAACCTGGGAGCAGCCTGTCCTGGGATATGTGAGTACCTGGGGGCTTGGACACTCTTGGAAAGGCCTGGGAAGAGAATAGCATCCCCTCCCACCCAAAAACATTGGAAAAGGATGATGTTAGAAGGCCAACAACTGGAGCTGGTAACCTTGAGCTAGTACCTTAACTTTTCTAAAATCAAATTTGGTTTCCTATAAAAATCAGAAAAATAATAGTGTCATGAGGTATCTTGGGGTCTTTGTAAAGATCAAATAAGGCGGGGCCAGGCACGGTGGCTCACACCTATAATCCCAGCACTTTGGGAGGCCAACGTGGGTGGATCACGAGGTCAAGAGATCAAGACCATCCTGGCCAACATGGTGAAACCCTGTCTTTACTAAAAATACAAAAAAATGGCTGGGCGTGGTGGTGTGTGCCTGTAGACCCACCTGCTCAGGAGGCTGAGGCAGGAGAATTACTTGCACCCTGGAAGCAGAGGTTGCAGTGTGCCAACATTGAGCCACTGCACTTTAGCCTGGTGACAGAGTGAGACCCTGCCACAACAAAACAAACAGGCAAACAAACAAAAAGAATGGTGGAGGTGGAAATGGCAGCAAAAAATGAACAGATAGGCCAGGGACAGCCCACGTACGAGGACTTAAATGCCAAATGACTTGGAAATGAACATGGGGAGCTGTTGAAGATCATGGGGTTTTCCAGCAGAGAAAGGGTGAGCAGACTTTAAAACTGGAAATCTACTGTCTTTGGGATTGACTATGGGGAACTCACTCAAAATAGACAGTGTGTGGTATTAGCCCACATCAGGGGTTCTCAACCAAGGGCAATTTTATCCCCCAGGGAACATTTAGCCATGTTTAGAGACACACCGGGGGTTCTCTAAACATGGCAGCTACTGCCTACAAGCCAGGGATGCTGCCTACCATCCTACATTGAGCAGGACCATCCCCACCATAAAGAATTCTAAGGTGCAAAATGTCAGTAGTGCTAAGGTTGAGGAACCCTTCCCTAGCTTGAGGGTGAGGCACTCACAGGATGCTGGTCTGTGAGTTAGGCAACTCAAAGGACAGTTCTCCCGGCCAGACCTGAAGGCTTCCTGAACAGCTGATGGATGAATCCACAGGGAGCGTGGGGAGGATGGCTGAGGGAAAGCCGGAGAGCACCCGTGTTCCGTGATTCAGGCTGTCGGTGGACAGAGGAAGTGGACTCCTCTCCATTCTCCTCCTCACTGGCCAGGATCACTGGCAGATCCCAGGCCCTGGTAACCAAGAGGGTTAATAGTGGGTGTCTCTCTGAGTTTGGGGCTAGGTGACCCTGCATGGAGCACCACAAATATTAGACATCCCAGAGAAGGGGCAAGTAGGGTACTTGCTGAAATCCTAACCTAAGAGGTAGAAGTCCCAACAGCATTCCCTGAAGTCTTTGGTGAGGGACAGGGACCTATGGCCCAGGGCAGTCTCCTTAAGGCAGGAGGAGATTGTGGCCCAAGGCAGTCTCCTTCTTCTCCTGCATGGAAACAGGCATGAGTGAGTTGTTCCTCTCACCATGAGGTCTGGGCTGGGGCTGGGGACAGGTCACAGAATGGGGATCAGAAATATGTTTCTGTCCTGGCCAGGCACAGTGGCTCACACCTGTAATCCCAGCACTTTGGGAGGCCGAGGCGGGCAGATCGCTTGAGCTCACGAGTTCGAGACCAGCCTGGGCAACATGACGAAACCCTGTCTCCACCAAAAATACAAAAAACTGGCCAGGCATGGTGGTCTGTGCCTGTAGTCTCAGCTACTCAGGAGGCTGAGGTGGGAGGATCGCTTGAGCCCAAGAGATCAAGGCTGCAGTGAGCCATATTTGTGCCACTGCACTCCAGCCTGGGTGACAGAGACCCTGTCGAAGGTAGAAAAAAATCTTTTGGCCAGGCATAGTGCTCACCTGTAATCCCTGCACTTTGGGAGGCCGAGGTGGGCAGATCACCTGAGGTCAGGAGTTCGTGGCCAACGTGGCCAATATGGTAAAAATACAAAAAATTAGCCAGGCATGGTGGTGCATGCCTGTAGTCCCAGCTACTCAGGAAGCTGAGGCAGGAGAATCGCTTGAACCTAGGAGGCAGAGGTTGCAGAGAGCCAAGATCATGTCACTGCACTTCAGCCTCGGCAACAGAGCAAGACTCTGTCTCAAAAAAAAAAAAAAAAAAAAAAAAGAAAAAGAAAAAAAGAAATCTGTTTCCATCCTGGTTTCCTTGGGCAGAGAAAGGCAAGGACATTTTAAGCCTCCTAGGTTTGGTGGGGCAGGATCCAGGATGAACCGACTGGAGAGGTGAAGGAAATCACTGGGAGAGTTAACAGTTCAGATCTCTCTGGACTGAGGCCCTGTATGCTGCTTCCACACCCGGGAAGTACGGCAGGAAGTGGGAGGGGCCTCACAGTGGGGGCAGAGGAGATAGAATAGGCACCACATTCTCACTCCCAACCCAGCCTCAAGGCACTGCAGCAAGAAGGGGTCTCTAACCAACACCAGCTTTCCTGGGGGACCTCAGCCTCCAGGGCCCACTCCCTGGGGATGGTGATGCCAGCTGCCCCTCCCGCTCTAGCTCTAGGGGAGGGGGAGGAACTCAGATACAGGACTAAATAGGTTCAACCCTTTGGGTTCCTAGGAGAGAGTCTTTGTCTAGAGCCCCTGATAGGAACAGAAAGCTATCCCTTAGGTTGTTTTCTAGGGAGAAGGGGAAGAGGATGGGGAGAGGACATCTCGTGTTCCTAAATGTCCTGGCCCCTAAAGGTGATAGGGAGGGTTTGGGATTTGGGAATGACGGAAACTGTACTGAGAATCCTAGGAACAGCTGTCTAAGTAGTTTTTTGTTTTTGTTTTGTTTTGTTTTGTTTTTTTGAGACGGAGTTTCGCTCTTGTTACCCAGGCTGGAGTGCAATGGTGCGATCTCCGCTCACCGCAACCTCCGCCTCCTGGGTTCAGGCAATTCTCCTGCCTCAGCCTCCTGAGTAGCTGGGATTACAGGCACGCGCCACCACGCCCAGCTAATTTTTTGTATTTTTAGTAGAGACGGGGTTTCACCATGTTGAACAGGATGATCTCGATCTCTTGACCTCGTGATCCACCCGCCCCAGCCTCCCAAAGTGCTGGGATTACAGGCTTGAGCCACCGCGCCCGGCCTGTTTTTTTTTTTTTTTTTTTTTTTTGAGACAAGGTTTCAGTTCTGTCACCCAGGCAGGAGTGCAGTATCACAAACTCACTGCAGCCTCCACCTCCTGGGCTCAAGCAATCTTCCCACCTTAGCCTTCCTAGTAGCTGGGACCACAGGTGCACGCCGCAATGCTCAGCTAATTTCTTTTTATTTTTAAGTATTTATTTATTTATTTGTTTTTGTTAAAGTAAATAAACAAAAGAGTAACGATTTCATGACAGAACAACCTTTCTAAAAATTATCTTTTGTGGAAATAGGGATCTCACTATGTTGCCCAGGCTGGTCTCAAACTCCTGGGCTAAAGTGTTCCTCCTGCCTTGGCCTTCCAATGTGCTGGAGTTAAGAACCCATCTGAGTGAGGAGGGGATCATCTAGATCAACCTGAGATGGCCCTCATCCCCACTCTAAATTCAGGACCGATGACGCTGCAAATCCCAAAGAGTAAGAGATACCAAGAGGAGGAATCCCAGGCAGAGGCAAAATCTCAGAGGCTGTTGGACAGGCAGGGAAGGGCTCCACCTCCAGTCTCTCTAGAACCGCCCTGCTTGACAGCAGGCAGGGTGGGGTCGGGTGGCTGGCCGTGACTGTGACTCAGGTTTCTGTGGGCAGCCAAGGGCAGCCGGCAGGGAGGAGCCCAGACCGACAGACAGGCTGGCCAACTGCAGCTTTCACCTCAGCTGTCCTCTCTCCCGGGAATGCAGAGGGCGCTTCTCTAGCTGAGCTGGCCCTCGGGGGATAGTTTGGCCCTTGCTTTCCTCCCCCACCCCAATCAATCCTCAAGTTCCTTCCTGGAGCCCTCAGCCCTTGGCTCCCTCCCTAGTGGCATTACACAGGATCGAGAGTCAGGGGTCACTGCCTCGAGGGAGGCCCCAGAATGTCTGGGGAGAAGGATGTAATAATGATTGGTCCTGCACCCTAAGGGAGGAACTGGGGGAACCGTGGGCACCAGCTTGCAGCCTGAGAAGCCCCCAGCCCTCCCTAACCTGGCTGGCTTGTGTCTGGACAGGCTGGTTGTCATGGTAAAAAGGCTAGGGGCTAGAATACAGCTGCTACAGTCAGGCTACCAGGCCTAAGAGCAGAGGGTGCTCAGGGACCGCACCCCCAGCCCAGCTCCCTCAGAGTTGACCAGCTGAGAGACCGCTGGAGCTGAAACCAAAAAGCTGTGGTCAGGGACTACAGACTTCCCCTTGGTGACGGGTGAGGGTTCAGCCAGCACATTCCCTTCGTGTTTCTGAGTCCTGTTTGTTGGCTTGTTTTCGGAGGGTGGCTGGAAGGGAATACACGTTTACTTTTATGCCTTTTATGTGCCCAAGTTCAGGGCATGCATGGCTCACCAATCTTTACAACAACTGAGAGAGATGCAGCAACTTGCCTAAAATGGCAAAGCTGGGATTAGAACTCAGAACTGACTGCCACGACAGTTAGTTTTCTGGGAACCAGGCAGTGTCGCTGTTCCAGGGGGAGGGAGGGGGAGAAAGTGCCTTGAACTGTATCTAAAAGAGTGGATATTCCATCACGAGGCCGCAGTGGGTAGAATGCAGGTGCTGGCAGCATTTGGGGTTTGGCAACCGATGGCAGTCTGAAGAGAAAGACACTAGTGAAATGCTTGGCACATAGTAGGTCATTAAATATTTTTCTAATGAAGCCAATTCTGTGTGAGTCATTGCTAGTTTTCTGGGACATCCTGGGAGCCTCTGGAGCTGAATCGCAACAGCGGAAGAAGCTAGCTCCAAAGAGGGACTTTCCAAGACCAACCCTGGCGAGAGAGGAATTTGCCGAGCATCATCTCAGAGCCGGGCGCGGGGGAAGGGGGACAAGGGGTAGCGTGTGGATGACCCAGGATTACCGAAGGCTGCGGACGCCACCCAGCGGCCAGGATGCCGCCCACGGGCGAGCGGGGCTCTACCAGCCAGGCGCGCGCGGAGCACTCCGGGAATTGTAGTTGACTGCGTTAAGAGGCGGTGCTGCCAAAGGGGCTCTTGGGTGTTGTAGTCCGACGTTTGTTGGGCGGGAGTTACTCACGTCGGCCGGACCACGAGTCCCGTGGTGCCCCGCGGCAGGCCGCGCAGGCGCAGTGAGTCAGTGCCGGTCAGTCCTGTGGGCTGAGGGGCAGAGGCTCGGCGGGAGGCGTCTGCAGGGGTCGCCGAGCAAGCCCGTGGCTAGGCGAGTGGGGCGGGGCGGCCGGCACCATGTCGAGGCAGGCGAACCGTGGCACCGAGAGCAAGAAAATGGTAACTTGAAGCGCGTGACCTCGGTGGGCGGGGCGAAATTGAGATGTATGGGTAAGGGGCCCGGCGCCCAGCGCGAGGCGCGATTGGAAAAGGGCCCTCCTGTGAGCTCCGGCTGGGGGAAGCCTCTTCCTGGGTTACTCCGGGGGCGTCCCAGGCAGGTTAGGGGACCGCGGGAGAAGTTCCCGGAGGAGACCCCGCCCCCAAGGCCTGAGTGCAGCTCTGTCCTAAGCCAACGACAACGACGGTAATAAATACCAGTAACTGCCACTTACTGCCCTCTTACTGTGTATTAGGCACCGGGCCACGCACTTTACATGCATTACAGTATCTCAGTTAATCTGCAGAGTAGCCGCTATCAGATGGATAACATGATTGCTGTTTTATAGCCTGGAGAGCTTACGTAATTTGCCCACATTTACACCTGGGAAGTTAGGATTTGGACCCGTGTCTAACTCCAAAGCTAATGTTTCAGACTGTTAGGCTATACTCTTAGGCTATAGTGTCTTGCACTGTGGCATGGGTATTGTGAGAGATGCTCAGATAGTGATCGTGCCAGAAAGGAACGTTCTATTCAGTGGAATAAGAGGTGGCCCAGAGTAAGCAGTGAGTTGGTGCCCCTCTAATGGAGTGGGTGGCTCCCTTTCTCTGGGAATAGTGGGACACCGTATGGTCCTATAAAGTTGGAGTAGGTGTTGGGGCTGAAGACTAAGGTCATTTTTCTCCTCCACCAACCCCCGAGATGAAGTCTTGCTCTGTCTCCCACGCTGGAGTGCAGTGGCATGGTCTCGGTTCACTGCAACCTCCACCTTCCGGGTTCAAGCGATTCTCCTGCCTCAGCCTCCCAAGTAACTAGGATTACAGCTGGGCCCATCACCACGCCCAGCTAATTTTTGTATTTTTGGTAGAGATGGGGTTTCACCATGTTGGCCAAGCTGGTCTTGAACTCTTGACCTCGTGATCTGCCTACCTTGGCCTCCCAAAGTGCTGGGATTACAGTGGTCTCTAAGGTCATTTTTCTTTAAACTAAGAGACCTTCCTGTCAGGCCTTCCTTTTCTTTGCCCTTTTTTTTTTTGAGACAGGGTCTTAACTCTGTTGCCCAGATGCATGCAGTGGCCTGATCTGTGCTCACTGCAAACGTAACCTCCCGGACTTAAGCAATCCTCACCTCAGCCCCCAAGCAACTGGGACCACAGGTGCACACCACCAAGCCAGGCTAATTTTTGTGTTTATTATAAAGACAGTGTTTTGCCATGTTGCCCAGACTGGTCTCGAACTCCTAGGCTCAAGCGATCCTCCCACCACAGCCTCCCAAAGTGTTAAGATTACAGGTCCGAGCTGCCATGCCCAGCTTTGTTTTGAATTTAAAAACAACATCAAGGCTGAACATGGTGGCTCGCGGCTATAATTCTAGCACTTTGGGAGGCTGAGGCAGGAGGATGGCTTGTACTCAGGACCTTGAGACCAGCCTGGGCAACATAGTGAGACCTCATCTCTAAATAACATAAAATATAAATAAATACATACATAAATAAAACAATATCTGAGGTTGCATGTGGGCCAGATCGAGGCCCTTTTTTTTGACACTCCTCTCTTGATGGGATGATCAGACTTCCCTCTCACCTTGACATCTTAAACCAGGAGCAGCCACCAGAATGGGCTGCAGGAAGCCTTGTTCTCCAGATTAGTATTTAACCCCTTTCAGACCCCTTTTGAGAAACCGATGAAGGCTATGGATCTTCTCCCCTAATATTACATAGACAGAAATAGGGAAACAGAAATGGAGACAATGCAGGGGTATAGTACTGCTGCCTGGGACTGTGCCCTGGTTTCACCACTTATTGCTGTGCGACCTTGAGCAAGTTTCTGCACTGTTCTGAGCATCAGCTTCATCTTTTTTTTTTTTTTTTTTTTTTTTTTTTTGAGACGGAGTTTTGCTCTTGTTACCCAGGCTGGAGTGCAATGGCGCGATCTCGGCTCACCGCAACCTCCGCCTCCTGGGTTCAGGCAATTCTCCTGCCTCGGCCTCCTGAGTAGCTGGGATTACAGGCACGCACCTCCATGCCCAGCTAATTTTTTGTATTTTTTTAGTAGAGACGGGGTTTCACCATGTTGACCAGGTTGGTCTCGATCTCTCGACCTCGTGATCCACCCGCCTCGGCCTCCCAAAGTGCTGGGATTACAGGCTTGAGCCACGGCGCCCGGCCTTTTTTTTTTTTTAAGAGGTAATAATAGTACCTATATTATAGCATTGTTCTGAGGATTGAGTGAATGCATGAAAAACTAGCAGTATAACCATGCATCTAAAACATAGTCGACACTGTCAGCTAGCATCCTTCTTAGTAAATATTTAGTAGACAAACATGTACATAAACATTTACTTACATTTTGTGGGTCTTTGTGGGCCTCTAAAAATACTTCATGGATTACAGGTTAAGAATTCCTATTTTGGCCGGGTGCGGTGGCTCACGCCTGTAATCCCAGCACTTTGGGAGGCCGAGGCGGGCGGATCACGAGGTCAAGAGATCAAGACCATCCTGGCCAACATGGTGAAACCCCATCTGTACTAAAAATACAAAAATAAGCTGGACGTGGTGGCATGCACCTGTAGTCCCAGCTACTCAGGAGGCTGAGGGAGGAGAATCGCTTTAACCCAGGAGGCAGAGGTTGCAGTGAGCTGAGATCCCACCACTGCACTGAAGCCTGGCAACAGAGCATGACTCTGTTTCAAAACACAGAAAAAGAAAAAAACCCTGTTTTTGGGCCGGGCATGGTGGCTCACGCCTGTAATCCTAACACTTTGGGAGGCTGAGGCAGATGGATCATGTGATCAGGAGTTCGAGACCAGCCTGGCCAATATGGTGAAACTCTGTCTCTACTAAAATACACACACACACACACACCCCCCCCCCTGTATTTTGAGGAAACACACACACACACAGCCTGTATTTTGAGGAAATACCAAAAGTTTATTATAAAAGAAGATTTTTTTTTTTTTTGAGACTGAGTATAGTGGTGCAGTCTTGGCTCAGTACAACCCCTGCCTACCAGGTTCAAGCAGTTCGTCTGCCTCAGCCTCCCAAGCAGCTGGGATTACAGGCATGCACCACCATGCTTGGCCAATTTTTTAATTTTTAGTAGAGACGGGGTTTCACCATGTTGGCCAGGTTGCTCTCGAACTCCTGACCTCAAGTGATCTGCCCGCCTCAGCCTCTCAAAGTACTGGTATTACAAGCATGAGACACTGCACCCAGCCTTTGTTTTTTGTTTTTTGAGGCAACTATAGCACAGATTTGTTGAAAGTACACTCCACAGAGCAGGAGCAGGCTTGAGCAAATAGCTCAAGAGCCACCTAAATTGTTAATATGTCTGAGTAACTAGATTTTAGTCTTTGTAAACAGAAACAGCCCTTTTGTCCAATAAGCTTTTCCTGAGCCCCAACTATATGCAGAGCACTGTACTAGGTGCTGTGGGAGATGCAACGATGAAGTCCTAGTTTTTAACTTTGAGAAGCACATACTCTGTGAGGGAGACAGAAATGTATACCATATATATGGTGTCTTCTAGCAGTGGAAAAATAAAAAGAAATATATGCCATACAGAGGTATAGTACTGCCTGCAACTGAGTCCTAGTTTCACCACTTACTTGCTGTGTTACCTTGGGCAAGTTTGTTCATTATTCTAGCATCAGCTTTGTCACTTTTTTTTTTTTTTTTTTTTTTGAGACGGAATTTCGCTCTTGTTACCCAGGCTGGAATGCAATGGCGCGATCTCAGCTCACCGCAACCTCCGCCTCCTGGGCTCAGGCAATTCTCCTGCCTCAGCCTCCTGAGTAGCTGGGATTACAGGCACGCACCACCATGCGCAGCTAATTTTTTGTATTTTTAGTAGAGACGGGGTTTCACTATGTTGACCAGGATGGTCTCGATCTCTTGACCTCGTGATCCACCCGCCTTGGCCTCCCAAAGTGCTGGGATTACAGGCTTGAGCCACCGCGCCCGGCTGACTTTTTTTTTTTTAAATGAAGTAATAATAGTACTTCTATTATAGGGTTGCTCTGAGGATTAATTGAGAGAATGCATGTAAAGCTAGCAGTGTGGCTGTGCACCCAGAACTGTTACAGAACACAGTTGACACTCAGTAAGTGTCCTCTAGATGTGTTATTAGTAAAGCTAGTAGCCTTCATGTGCCTGTACGGTGGTTGGCTGTGGAATCCTATGGACATGAGACCTACCCTTCTTTTGTGTCAGATTACTGTGACCCAACCCAGTGTCTAGTCCCCTGAGCTGAGGTGAGCTATTACTTAAGTAGAAGCATTTAGAGTCTCCATGACAGAAGGCTGAAGGATAAGAGAGATGGCTGGATTTAGTCTTGCTACTGATCCTTCTTCTCCAGCTGCTGGGGAGGATCCACACTGGATTACCTATTTTGACAAAAATAGCACGAGTCTTGGAGCATTGACTCTAGAGATCAGCCCCCTTAAGGAGATCTGACATTTTGTTTGGGGCACTAACTGGAAGAAAGGTCTTCTGAAAACTGTCAAGTGGTGTCTCACACGAGTATAGAGCTGGTTTAATTTACTTTGTTCAGGTTGTGACTAAAGTCCTTGGAGATCATGTTAGTATAGCTGCTATAAATCCTGTGGTTTCTTGTCTGCAAGGCACATTCAAATCCATTATCTCACTAGGTCCTACCAAAAACCCTGCGAACGGCAAGACAGATTTTACTGTTACTTCTTTTGAATTAGAAGATTGAGACTTAGCCCAGTGAATTGATTTACCTAACTACGGACAGCTGTTAAGCAGCAAGTCCAGACTCAGAATCAGGTCTTCAGGATCTTGCTGTGTCGTCCAGGCTGGAGTGTAGTAGTGTAATCCCAACTCATGCAGCCTTGACTTCTCAGGCTCCAGCCATCCTCTTGCCTCAGCCTCCCTGCTAGCTGAGACTACAGGGATACATCACCATGCCCAGCTAATTTTTTCTATTTTTTGTAAAGATGGGG